TTTTAATTAATCTTAAAGATTAATGGTCTTGCAAGGAATTTATTTTGTTATTTTGCAAAATACCAAAATTTAATTGGTAACTAGTGCAAATAGGTTAAAAAATTATGGAATTTCCGGTTTAAAAGCAGCAGCAACGTTTCGGTTATAGTATATGTTTGATAGAACGGACAACTTAAGAGGCAAATGTGCTGAAGTTATGGATCTAGAGCCAATTTCATTTGGAAATTGAAATCAGTAAAATCTTGCCTATTGTTTAGATGTATTGACAGTTTTTATACCAAAATCATTTTAACCGGCATAATATCTATCGGTTAAATGATGTTGCTAAACAAAATCTATAACTTTTCTGTCAGTACATACATATGAATCATTGGAAAAGTTTTAAATAAATTTAAAAGTAAAATAAATAGTAATTCTTATTATTAGTATTTTCTCACTAAATTCTACAAAATCATGTATATTTTTCTGTAATTAAATTTACCCTAGCACATACAGATTTACAACTGCTTACGATTCTCATGTTTTTAAACAGAATGAAAAATAAGAAAAACAAAACTGACATTTGTGTATCCGCCCATTCTACTTAAGACACTTCATTCAGTCTTCTTTTTGTGCAAATATGAAGAGATAAAAAGAAGCTAAAACAGATCGTAAACATGTAATTAACATTTAACCCTTTCCACAATTGCCATTTTAACAATTTCATTAAAATTTAATTTAACTCATTCATGTAGGATGGCTCCTGTTTGCTGATTACCAACGTTGATTTTGCAATTAGGATCGGTTCATATTGTGAAAGAAACAATTTGTCAAACAATTGGCGGTAGTTTTTGCAATCAGATTTAGTATTATTGAATGAAATTTCCCAGACAAGATCGTACAATGAGCCAACTTTCATCATTACCAGGAAAATATGCCCGATGTTGGATAGCAAACGCACGCCATATCTCTTACAGCCAACTCGCCAACCTAGTTGCTGGATTTTTAGGACATTGTATGTATACGTCTATAGTATGGTTAAAAGCAATATACCACACAAAGACCTCAAATTAAAAAAAATGCTTATGTAAGGGGCGATCGGTGAAACCCGCTTTAAACGAAGTTGTCCATTACATAGGTGAATCCTTCGATAGCAAACTGTATACACTGGCGGTATGCATTGACATCGAAGGGGCCTTCATTCTGACCAGGTGCTCCGAAACGGGATCAACTACATCCTAAGGAACAAATGGATAAGCTGCGAGATGTACGATATAACTATCAAAACTCTGGAAACGTTGCTAGATATTCCACCCATTGAAACATATGAGACGGCGCTTACAGCCGAACGGCTTTTTACTTTAGCCGAACTGGCCAAAAGCGGTTTTAGGACTCGTCATCAATGTATACTGGACACATTGGAAGGTTATACACAATTATCGGACGTACCTGATCGCATTCTAGATACATAATATGTCGAAAACTTTGAAACGCTGATCCTAGCGAAACATTAGAGCAAATACCAGTAGGATCCATTGGGCCTGAGGTTCTATATTGACCCAGAAACAGAATCAGGGCGATATCAGGTGATAGAATTAAATCTAAGACCGTATTGGATTGTAGGAAAGCTTTAACCGAATACTCTCCCAGAAGTTAGGTTTACATCATATGGGTACCAGGCCACTCGGGAATAGTCGGCAACGAAAGGGCGAATGTAATAGCTTTAAAGGGAAGGGAGCTCGAGGAAGTTAACCTGAAGAACGCAAAACATTTCGATGCAACAACAACTGAATTAAAAATACGGGTGAGAGAATCCTATAAGGCCTGTTGGAATAATGAAACGGTAGGTAAAACCACAAAGGTTCTATGGGGTGACCCTGAAGCAAGACGAGAAACTCCTCAAAATGAGCAAGTCTGAAGATAGTATGATGGTACGTATTCTGAGTGGACATACAGGATTACGAGCACAACTGTACAAAATTGGACGTGCGGATTCAGACGAATGTAGAGCATGTGGAGAGGACAGTGAAACCCTGGAGCACTTTCTTTGCCACTGTCAGGCTTTCGTTGAAGTTACATCCAAGTATCTTGGAAATTATTTTATTCCGGAAATAACATTCCTGACTAATTCCTGACTGAGTTTCTGAACATTGAAAAATAATACATTCAGTAATTTTTTTTTCATGAAATGGAGCGCACAACAGGCCCGATAGTGGCCTAGGTGTATTTCTTCGGATATAGACATATCCTCCTATCAACCTAATCCTTTAACGACTTTTGTAGAAGCTGTCAGAATGAAAAGGAAGAAGAATCTATTGTCATTGTTCTGTTATAGAAGACACTCGCTTAAGATTCTAAAGAAAAAGATCTTTTGTCGACATGCCAGAAATATCTGGTTTTTAAATCACTCTAGCCTACTGAATTATGACATTTTTACTCCTCATGGACAGCTGAATCTCTCTCGCTCTATTCTATCTACTTTATACTGTACTTACAGCTATCACAAAGGGACCAACAGGAATCACTAGAAAAACTAATCTATGAAATCGTTAATACTGCATTAAGATTAAATCTGAAGATAAATTCGGATATCTAAGTCATCTTCTCAAAATCTTAAAGATCATAATACAATCTTTGAAAAATTTTTTAAAAATGAAAATGTGGAGTTTCTTATAAAAAATTACATATTATATATATTTGATCAAGATTTTTTACAATTGACACAACTTAAACCTGCTTGAATAAAACTGTTATTACAATATCTGTACTAATAAGAACAACGACATGTGTCGAAAGTTATTAATTTTATTTTGTACAGTCTATTTAAACACGACTTTTTCTCTTTGGAAAACCCCTAAGATAAAAAATGTTAACACTGAGTTTGCCAATTACAATTGGATGTTATTACTGTAATTCTGAAATATTTTCTTTTATACAAATGTAACTTTATGGAACTTTTTATACCCACAATCAAGGTCCCCTTTAACGCTTATTACTGGCACGATAAAACTCGATATAAAGACTCTTGGTTGAACTAAAAATACGAGTGTTATACGAACCGAAATCTATTTACCAAATTTTTCAACTATCGATCTATAATTGAACCTACCGCCCATATATGTTCATGGTTTAAAAGTTTGACAAAGTATATTTGTTTTTATAAATTAATATTTTCTTAATTCGAAAGGATTTAAATTGACTTAAATCCTATTCCAAATATCAACCTAATGTTTATAGGGGAGCATTCCAGGGGAGATTAAATAATGCACCGATTTCAACCATTTTCAATAGGCTTCGTCGTTGGGCCGTATGGTCCTAATTTCATCAAAATATCTTGAAAATTGCGACCTGTACCTTGCGCACAAGGGGTACATGGACAGCCAGCCGGACAGACGGACGGATGGACATTCTGAGTCGATGGGTGTACTTTAAGGTGGGTGTAGGATCAATATTTTTGTGCGTTACAAACATCAGCACAAACGTATAATACAATCCCCATTATGGTGGCGTAGGGTAGTTGGATTATTTTGCAATTTTACGATATATTTTCCATGGACCTTGAGATATTTTTCTCTCTCCATTTGGAACTTCTAGATCCCTATGGATGTTCTCATGGTCCAAAGAATTTTTGATTGTGCCCTCTGTATATGTAAGTCCAAATAAGTTTCAATACAGTTTTATCCAGGATGACTTTATTGTCAAGACCTAATTTGGATTTAAGCTTTATAAACCAGTGCATACTAGACGCTTTTAACCTCATACAAAGTCTCTTGATTTCAATATATCGACGCCAAGTAAGCGTTCCAAGATATGTGACATAATCCGACTGGGGAATATTAACGCTATTAAGTGTGAAAAGAACATGAATTTAAGAAATTTTCAGATCATTTTGGAATTTATATGCCTTTATAAGTCGTTTTGGGGACTAGGAATAGTCCAAAAAAGATTTTCATTATTTTTTTTCGCGATAAGCTCAGAACTACTCAATTTTTGAGACCCATGCCGAAAAGATTGCAGACAATATTTTTGAACATATTGTTCTGAGATCAAAATTTTCAGTCGCTGGTATTATTTTTCTTGAATTCAGTACTCATCGTTTTAGAGGTATTCCTAGAACAAAAATGTTCCACTGACCAAATACTATCCGGGAACTGAGTTTCAGTTTCTTAAATTCTGAACTAATATTTCATGGACACCATGGTACTTTTCAGTATGTCATAACGTCCATGGACATTATGACACCCTTCAGAAATAGGTACTCTTTCTCGGGATTGAAATGCTTCTGTCATTGTTGCATGACATATGAATTCCCTAAAAAGTGCCTAAAATGTAAGTATTCTCTCTCGGCTTCGGTCAAACCAACCACCAATTCTTTGTGTATTATAGTAAATGTATGGACATCAGTCATAATTTTAAAGACGTCAATGACTTTTCAGAACAAAAATAATCCGATAATTATCTGTAATTTGACAAAAAGGGTATTTTTTATTTCGAGATATTATAATTGGAATATTTAAAAAAAACACTTGGTTTTACCATTTCATATTATCAGATTGGATGGGTAAGTACAAAATATTTGCTATTTTCACCGATAAGTAGGAATGTTAGTGTTAAAATTACTTATTTTTATTGTAATCAACGCCTTAAAGATGGTTTAATATATGCACTAAAAATTTAAGAGAATATGACTTTATTTGCATGTGTCTCTCTTTTTTACGATGAGAGGCTTCTTTTAACCCATTTTGGTGGAAATACAAATAAGCTAAATCAGAGTTAATCGAAATAAGTATAAATAAGTTTTAAATTTAATCGATATGCAAATTACCATACTTTTATAATTATGTGTGAAAATCCGACTAATGTTAGTATAAAGATTTTCAGATTTTTTATATAATTTATTGAAAGTCATTATCATTTTACTTCGCGTGCAACTTTTAAATGTCCATCTTTAAGGGGTTAATATACACATGAAGAGAACTGAATAAATGTTGTCATTTCAAGTATAAAACAAAAAATATTCAAACAACTAAAAACAGTATTAAATTCAAGCTTCGAATACAATCAAGTTTTAAGACGGAATTAACTGCGGCTTTTATTATCTTATTTATTTTTTAGTTCGTTGTCTTATGAACTTGTGCGGTTAAAAATAATAAAAAAAAATGTTAAAAATCTGTAAGATTTAATTGTTTATTAGAAATTCTACAATTCTTATAAATAAACACATATTTCTTCATTTAAGATATAATCTTGGCGCTATGGATACAATCATTAAATGCTCAATATGATGTCTATATGACAAACTCTAGAGGTGGACAAAACACAGTAAAACCATCAAATTTTTATTCTGAATATAACTACGATACGCAATTTGGTAGCAGGAAAAATGACCAAGTTTCTCAATTGCCAGGTCAAATGTACAATACCAATTCCAGAAATGCATATGGAAATACAAATAATTTAGCAGCAAACCCCATTCTCTCTCAAAACAAAGAGACAAATTTAAAAACTACAGAGCCTAATCCAAACACTCCCTTTATAAACAATTTGTCAACCATATCGTCACTATTTGAAGAGAATCCAACAACTACATATCATTCTTCAGTAAGGGAAATTCCAGCAGGAGAATCTTTTAATGCCAAACTCTTTGAAATCATGTCTTTGAGGGCACAAAATGAAAATCTTGTCTATTCTCCCATTTCACTGCAAACAATTTTGGCATTCATTTTCACCATGTCTAGTGGCAAACTATATGATGAATTGGCTCAACTGTTGGCAATGCCCAATAATCGTACGTTTATTGCCAAAACTTTTGAAAATATTGTACAAGCAGCCGCATTAAATACTCCGCCAACAACACTTATAATGGCCAATAAATTGTATTACGATTACCGCTTTGGCCCTATCGACCCAAGCGTTCGCAATATGGCTAAAAAATCATTTGAAAGTGAAATGGAACAAATAGATTTTTATGCTTCCAAAAATGCAGCCAATATCATAAATTCATGGGTTAGTAAGAAAACCCGTAACCTTATACGCGACATTGTTACCCCTGCATCTATTACCGGCGATACTAGTGCTTTGTTATTGAACTCTATATATTTTAAAAGTGACTGGCTTACGAAATTCGCCTCATATGATACGGAAACTCAAGATTTCTTTGTTACAAAATACAAGCAAGTTCCCGTCGATATGATGTATAATGAAGATGTATTTCGGTATGCAGATTTTCCAGATGATCTACAAGCTTCAGTGGTAGAATTACCCTATAATTCGTCCGATTTATCAATGTTGTTAATTCTGCCCAAAGACGTAGAAGGTTTGGCAGTTTTGGAGAGAAAACTGAGATACTATGATTTCCAGACAATAGCCCAAAAACTTAAAAGAGAAACGGTGACTGTAAAATTACCGAGATTTAAAATTGAATTTGAAACTGATATGATAAAACCATTGCAACAGGTAAGAAGTTTATTATTTTAGTAAAAAGGAATAATCTATTAAAGAATTTTGGAAAGAACTTTAGGATTTTATCTTATAAGAGACTAAATCCAAAATATATCCGAGGTAAATAGTTTTGATAATTTTCCGGATTTGTGGTTCGACTTTAGCGGATTTCTTGTCAATTGTAAATATAAATGTACTACAATTTGAATCTGGGTATTATACGATTCTATAACGATCAAGCAATATCCGTCTGTCTGTTGAAAGCACAAAAGGACACAAGCAAAATAGTTTCAACATTTTGAAAATGACAATATCGGTAATTAGTATCTCTACCAAATTGAACAAAAACTAGTTTTATACAAAAAGTTGAGGGGACTGGATCATATTTGAACCTACCACCAACAAAAGATTTCTTATGGAAATATCAGTTATAAAATTGTAAATCATTTAAATATAATGGTAGTAAGAGAAAAGTTAATATAAAAGATTTTATTTAATTAAATTATCAACCAAATTCCTTCTCCATTGATGGACCTATTTTGTTTCCAAATTCTCGAAAGTATGTCGGGACGTAAGAGTTGGACCCAGAACATATCGCGGACGTTCAAAAAATTATTTTCAAAAAACAAACGGACGAATAGACGGACACCTTTAAATCTTTACTTAAAATTAGGAATAGCAAAGGGATTGAAAAACTTTTACGAAAGCAAAGGGTAACTTGGAGCATACTTCCCCACTTTCCAAACTGAATAATAGTATGTCAAATTTAAAGCTATAATTAATAACAATCTTTATTACATTAATTTTCAGATGGGTCTTAATGCTTTATTCAACAATGCTGGCAGCATAAATCTCTTCAAAAATCAACAGAAACCCTTAAATGTCGATCAATTCAAACATAAAAGTTATATAAATGTAAATGAGGCCGGTACGGAAGCAGCTGCTGCTACAGGTTTGTAACAAGTTTACTTTATTACTTATCATAAAAATATTTAATTGATTAATCTTATATTCCATTCCATTTCAGTTGCTAAATATATACCACTATCAATACCGCTCAATATGAAGTATTTTATTGCCGATCATCCATTTGTATTCGTAATACGCGACACAAATACAACCTATTTTATAGGACATGTAGTTCAATTTTAGTTATCACATACTTACATATATACTCGAATTTAATAAAAAATTATTTTATTTTACAATAAACTATAATGGTGATTAATTACAAACCTACTACCTTAATTTACTATATTAAAGTTTATGACGAGAATAATGGCGGATTCAAATACTCAGAGGAATTTTATTGATAATCTCAAAGGTCTTAAAGGGGGGCTATGGTCAAATACGGCATATTTTAAAAATATAATTATAATTATGTATTATATGGGACACCGAAGTTCCAAGATTTCTTAAATTTTTCTCGAAGTAGAGCGTAATTAAAAACTTGCTCAGGACTGTCTACTGAGGTGTCAGTTATGGGACTAAAAGTTAAAATTGATCCCTTGTGCGCTAATCGAGATATTGGAGGTCAAAAGTCATTCATATATCTTGTCTGAAGATATATAAACGGACATGGCTAGTCGTCTTAAAATCTAATAATGTCCGTTCATCTGTCCGTCGATGTTTTACAAATACATTGACAAAAATAATATTTTTTATGGTTTGTATATAAACATTATTGGAATTCTTTATAAATCCTATGTAAAAACCGGAATGATTCACTAACAATTTTCAAACGTAAGAGTAAGCATCTTATCTAATTTAAAAAAATCCCCATCGTATATTTTTTTGATTATAAAAATATTTTATTTTGATGTGTATTAGAAAAAAAGTTAAAAAATATAAATAATCTTATCATCATATGGAAATAATATGAAAAATTCATTATTTTGCTAATATGTATTTAAATAAAATTAATAAATCATATTTGCATTTGTACGAAAAAAAATACAGAAAAAAACATTTTATGCCAATTAAAGCATTTTTGAAAATCTCTTTAGAAATGCATAATAAACATGTTAATTTTCAATTATTTGCTTTATAAAATCTTTGATCAATATACCGGGTAATTTGGAATAGTACTTATTTGAAGCTCACACATACATACATACATATGTATGTATGTTAGGTTAGGTATCGAGGGCAGCTGCTACAGAAGCAGCTCATTTGAATCCATCCCAGAAAGCACCTCCATGCCTGACAAGAAGGGAGGACCAAAGTGATGTTCCCTGATTTCAGTGAACGCAGGGCAATTGCAAAGTATATGCGATATCGTCTCATCTTCTTCGTCATTATGACAACTTCTGCAGTAGTCATTATATACAAGGCCTAGTCTTCTGACATGAGTGCCTATGACGCAGTGTCCTGTAATTAATGATACAAGCGTTCTTATATGCTCTCTTCGAAAGCCTATGAGCAGTCTTGATCTGAGAGTATCATATAGAGGCCAAATAGACCTCGAGATCTGACAAGTGGTTTCACTGAACCACCTTTCCCACACAGTTTATTAAGAACAAAATTCTTACAGTTCGTAAGAGAAATACCAATAAAGGCGACGTTTTCTTCCTCATCCAACATATTGCACCATTTATGGCTAATTCATATGTATGTAAACAAATTCAATATTTTGTCGAAGATCATACTGGTGATCGTCTGGTAGTGTATTTAAAATTCTAACTTTATCGTTTATTGTAATTTGTTTATTTACTAATTTAAACTTGTTGATTTATTTATATGTTCACTTAAAAAAAACGTCGGTTCTAATACATATTTTGTTTTTAAAACAAAAAACAACGTCTTATCTATTTTCTGAGATTAAATATGAGTAAACTGCTCAGAGAGTAAAAAACGAAACAAGTTTAGCGATCTTGAAGTGTGATACAATTTAATGTTTTTTTTTTTTCTAAATTAAAATTAATTTACACATTTCTTGTAGTTGTAAGTAGGAATACGAGTATAAACAAATTATTGCTTAGTGATGTAAGTTAGAGTAAACAGTAGGGTGATCGATTATTCGACATTTTCCAAAAACCGGTTTTCGAATAGTTCGAATAGTTGATATTTGAAAAAAAAACCGGTTGACATTTTTCAAATCCAGAAAAAACCGGTTAACCGGTTTTTCATTATAAATAACAAAATCTATTTTAATTTGAAAAAATAGACGTTTATGTTTAAATTTAATTAATAAAACAGGACTTAACTGTTTTCTAACAGTTTAAAAGATTATAACTTTAGATCTAGTCGTTTGATTTACTTTATTTCTTTAATGTAAAAAATGGAAAAAAGTGGAACACTTCTGTTGAACATAAGGAACTATGTAATTCTAGCTTATTCTAAAATCCCTATTTAAACAATTTTCATAGTCATTCCAACACTTCCATAATATTTTAGCCGCAAATTTATTATTGTAATTGAAATATAATCTTAAGATTGATAAAATTTTATCAAACTGTTATTCCAATAAACTTTACAAATAAAAATTGTTAATTAATTAGGAAAATCAAAAAAGTTTAACCAAAGGTGCATTAGAAAAATATACTCTAGTTCCTGGACTCCAATATTTTTAATATATAGACGGGCTGTATTTTTATTTACTTCAAAACTTAACTTAAGTAATCTTTGAATACAAAGCAAATTAAAAGTATTCGAAACCGGTTTTTAAAAAGTAGAAAAACCGGGTTGTTCGATATTCGAAAAATCAACATTTAGAAAAAACCGACACTGGTATAACAGAAAAAACCGGTTTTAAAACCGGTTGAAAATCCGAGTCGATCACCCTAGTAAACAGTAACCGAATAATATAGATAAAAATAATACTTTGATTTCTTAATTGTTATATGTAGTAATTTTTTGAAGGGGGCCTTATACGGGGTTATGTTCAACTATGGACCGATCCTCATAAAATTTGAGAGAGAGATTTTGATTCATATAAAACTTATTAACATCGAATTACACCACTCTTTTCGTGTTTGTAATAAAATAACGGTAAAGGGGAGCTTATATAGGGGTCAATTATAACCCGTTCTACATAAAATTTTGTAGATAGGTTTTTGTTTATATATAACTTATTTGTTTTGAACCTCAAGAAATCGGTAGAATGATTTCGGTTTCTATAAAACTTATTTATATGGAATTTCGTCGCTGTACTCGTATTTTTAAGTCAGTAATACTCGTTAAGGTCAGTTTCTGAGGAATAACTTTTGGTTCGGATAAATCTAGTATTAGTCATATTTCCTAGGTGTAATCGCACTTTTAAGCCGTAAATGAGCTTTAAAATAGTTTTCTGAAAGGGACCTAATATGGGCTGTATGGTCAATTATAGGGCGATCTTCCTAAAATTTGGAATACAGATTTTGGTTCATTTAAAACTTGTTTGTGTTAAATTTTTATCGCTATACTGATATTTTTCAAATAATAATGACTGTTCAAACTGTTTTCCGGAGGTCCGTATGTATGGGGGCTAAGTGAAAGCATCGACATTGCCCACTGCATCAATAGAAAATAATTGTGTGAAAATTTCTAAAGTACACTACTGTGTACATAAAGTACATAAAACACTTTTAAGCATATTTTTGGTTTCCCTGTTAATGACTAATTATTCTCATGAACTGAGTACAATCAGCATCTTTCGGTTATTTGATAATCAAGAATACACGCAACACAATTAAATTTATTTAAATTTCTCAAAACTGATAATAAAATTTGCATTCTGTACATGACGCTTAATGAACATTTAAATAATACACTGAACAAAATAGTTGTTATGCATTAATTAAAATTAAAATTCTAGTGAACTTGTCTAAATTGTTAGAATGACTTATATTTAACAATAATAATAATCTTGGGATAAAAAAATGTGTAAATCAATTAAGAGGGAGAAAAATAAGATTGGTAGACGCGACTTCCCCTAACATTGAGATTAGTCATCAAACATAGTTTTATTAGGATATTAAATCTATCAGACCTTTGTCGAATGCCTGGTTTCGAGCAGTCTCCAAAATCGGACATGTGTACTGAAGTTGAGCTATCGATAACAGCTACTGAAATGATGTATAATGCGATGCTGATATGTAGAGCCACAAGAAACGCGGATCGAATCGAGCCAATTGTAGATGATAGAGTCCAAGTGCATGCTCACTTGAGCTTAGAAGTTTTGATGCCAGATTCGGATTCTAAAAATACTATAGTCATTACGTTAAACATTTATTGACCTATTGTTGACAATGATAACTGGTTACATATTATACTTATAGGCCTACGTACTCATAACTTATCAGTGTACTAGTACAAACTAAAGTACTCTCTATTTTTAAACAAATGTTTAGGTTTGAGTATGTTTTCAAATAAAACTAAAAATGATCTTCATTTCACTAGTACAATAATCTAAATATTTAAATAAAACTTTTAGTATTGATTTACACATCGAAACGAAAAGCATCAAAAATTTAGAGCAGACAAACAAAAAAAAAATTAAATATTTAAAAATGAAGTGGCAATTGTGTAAGTGTGTGACTATGGTGGTCACTGATAACAATTAATAACAATAACAAAATTTATAATTATTATATAATACGTTTAAATTCAATTTAAGTGTTAATTGTTGGCATCGTTGCTCTGAGTCAATCAACAAATGGAAAATTGGCCAGTAACTATGCCCAGACCATTGAAAGAAATTTATTTGCATCCGAATTCTATAATGCAGTAGCTAGTGAAAAATTGAACGATAATGTGGTAGTCTCCCCTGCTGCCGTACAAATCTCCATGGCCTTGGCTTTTTATGGCGCCAAGGGCAAAACAGCTACTGAAATGCAAACTGGTTTACGTTTGGGCTCAAGTGATGCCGAAGATGTTGTAAGACGTTTTGCTGAATTTCAATTGGCTTTCGGTCGTGACAATAACATACGTTTGGCTAATAATATTTATATCAATGAAAATCTTGAATTCAAGCAAAAATTCAAAGATGTTGCCCAACGTAACTTTGAGTCCAACATTGAAAAGGCAGATTTTCATCCACCCTACAATAAGCGTACCGCTGAGCGCATTAACAAGGCCATGGAGACCAAAACAAATGGCAAAATCAGTGATATATTAGCACCTCAACAATTGAATGATCTCACCGAGGGAGTTATCGTCAATGGCATCACCTTTAGTGCCCCCTGGCAAAAGGCCTTCCGTCTTGATAAGACCTCAAAGCGTAGCTTCTCGTC